AGTTTTCAGGGATGAAATAGTCCCTAAAATGATAGAGTAGATTTTATAAAGTTTCAATTTTGCTGTAAAAAATTATAATTTATTTTTGATTTCATTTCTTTGCTCAAAAAATAACTATTTCTATTAGGTTGAAGGTATTTCAACTAATAAGCGAAAAATTCGAAGTTCAATTACCACTCTACTTTATTCTCTACACATCAACCTTCTCTTTTTTATACCCTTCCCAAAATTACATAATTACTTAAATAACCCACAAAATATAACCTTTTTTAAAAGGCCTAGCATGATTTCACTAAATGCAACATTTTGTATAATTATAAATGAGAAATTCAATAGTGCCAAAATCAAAATAATCTTTAAAGATGTAACTTAATGGTCAAATATCTCTGCTTCCGATAACACAAAAACATATATTTACTTATATAGTATCAGACGATATTTTAAAAGAAGAGCTGCTAAAGAAGAGAATTATGTAAAACCAAATATTTTATAAAATTAAACCAAGGAATGACAATGGCTGTGTTAATTATTGAAATTAAATTTGGCCAAAATCATTTTTGTATAACATTTATTAAAAAGTAAATAAAAAAATGTTGAAAAATTTAAGCTAGTTATAATGGAAAAATTTCTACATTGTCTGAACCATTTAATTAAAACTAAATTGAATGAAGAAAATTAAAGCTTGCCATAATGTTAATCAATGTTGAGAAAATAATTCCAATTAAATCAGAAACAAAGATCAATACGAAAACAGAAATGGGTTGAATAATAAAATAAAATGCTTACTGTATCATATTTTGGTACAGTTATAAACCGAAGAAATAATACTCCTCAAACTTCATTGTTAAAAAGGCTTATAAGAAACTGTGCTAGTAGTTTACAATCACAAGCTTGTCAGTGGAGTATTCAAAAATCAAGATATTGCTCATGAAAAGCCTAAAGAAAAAGTTAACTGTGATGCTAAAAAGTATGATCTTGTTAATCCTAAATGCCATGTTTCTAGCCATGCTAAGTTGTGTATAAACAGCTACAAAATGATTGAAGTAAAGTGCTTTTTTTTAAAAAGAAATCTTTGTGTACAAAAAGCGTTTACCAATAAAACTTTTTGTATGGAAATAGTATTAGACAGCAAAAACTAAAAATCAAACAGTTAATTTTACAATTGTCAGGGTATCAAAGCTTTTACAGAAAAGAGCGAAATTGACTTTTTTCTGTACGAATATGAAGACTTTTTTGTGCAATCAATTAAATTTGAAAATGAAAACTGGTTCAATAAGATTTTACATTGTTTAGATACATTGTTCAAAAATATTTAAAAGGATGTAAAAGTATGTAAAATTGTTATAAGAAATTAATATTTTTTTTATTCTTCAACATTTTCTTTGTTGGGAATTGCATAAAATAATAAATTTTTATGTTTTACTTAGTTGCTAAAGCATTTAGGTACACAACATGTAAAATCTCGGCTTCTTTTTTTTTTGTTTGTTTTTTAGTTTAAATAACATTGTTTGGTGCACTTGTTGTTATCTTTTCTTCAAAGTCTTATATAGTGCAAAGTTTACTCCAACAATATAGTTTTTAAAATTTGAACTAAAAAAATTTAAAAGGTGTGAAATAAAATACACCAAAGTCTATTGGGACAATCTCAGTTCTTTCAATATTTGACATTTTACTCGACTTATTTTTGTTGTTTACTTCCGCGTACATACAAATACCATAATCATTTTATTTAAGGGGAAAAATGAAGTAGGAAAGAAAATACTTTCCTTTACTTTGGCTTTAAGGTAGGCAGCAAACCTCTGGCTTCTTGGTTTTGATCCAGAACTCTAACCACTGCAACACGGCTGCAGTAGATTTAAGAGTGTAAATATTAGTGCTTTAGCTCATGTTGTCCCGGTTTTTTACGTAGGAAGGCGAAGCGCTAATCTAGTTAAAATTAAAATTTTTATTGCTTTCTGCAGAAAAATCGGGACAATGACAATCCTAGCCTAAATTAAGCATCTCGCTAATTGTGTACACCAAATGTTTTGTGGACTGCATATGCTGTGATTTGCCTCTTATACTCTTTAAAAGCAATGTCTGCTATAGGCAAAATATGGCATAAACACACTGCACATTTTTGAATAATTTATATGCTGGATGGCTTGCTTTACGCAGCGTTGTTCAATGCCATCATACTTTTACTAGTAAGGGTTAGTTAGTAAATGTTCATAGACTGATATAAAATTAAAAAAATCCAGTCCCGGAGTCTCAACAATTTTTTTGACGGGCGGGACTCTGGAGTCTGGGTAAAAACAGGGACTCCGACTTCGCATCCCTGAATGTATGAACTTAAATTTGAAATTTATTGATTTGAAACACTTTTTAAGTTTCTTAATGAAGTGTTTTTAAGAGAAAACACAGAAAAAAGTTATTAATTTATGTTAAGCGTGTGTATTAAACATGTATCTGTAAATTAGCTTTATACACATTTTTACTACTTTATTTATACATCTTTTAGGTAGCAGAACATCTCTTAAAGATTTTAAAGCAATTAGAAGATATAGAATTAGCTTTAACTTTTGTTTTATGTCTTATTAAACCTAGCGAATGTTTGTGGCAAGTTGTAAGCAAAATAGATGGTAATATTCCTGTGAGGAATGTTTACTCTGAGACTGACGTGGAATTAAAACAACCTCTTTTTCGTATTTTTTATGATGTGCTTGTCAAGTGGCTGATAAACACTGGGATTGAAGGATTACTTAAAGAAATCGACAAACTCTTTGAGGAACTTATTTTGAATAAAATTGCGTTTTTACTTGAATCAACTGGTACGGTACTTTACGATAATGAAACTTTTCAAAATCCTCCTTATTTGACATGCGCTGATCTTGTTTCTGATATAAAGAGTAATCTTGGATTCAAATTATCTGATAATAGTTTTCTCGATAAAGTAATTAGTTTGCAATGTTTAATGCGATTCACTTCAGATGAGCAAGAAAATGAGCAGTTAGAGGAAGATAAAGAAACTGCACAGTGTAATGTTCCAGTTTTACTTTCTAACAGTCTAGTAGGCGAATGTATTGTTTTCAAATTGTCTATTGATGCTTTGGCGACAGTTGCTCTCAATACAACGTTCGAAAAGCTTTTGTTTATGTTACGTGATTCAATTTTTAGACAGCAACACGCTCTTCGACTTTTGATTAAATTAGGTGGACTCTCTTATCTGTATTCTTCTGTTCATGTTCAACTTCCTGGCGCGGATTTTCCTATGACAGTACTGCTTCCAAGTGTCGATTTAAAAGGAATTGAAGTTCCTGAAGAGAATTATCCGAGTTACAAAGAGAAACTTCATGATCGTTTTTTACTTACGAAAGAATATCCTGTATTTAGACGAGTGCTATCCTGCTTCGATAATAGAACAAACAAAATAATCCAACTTGTTAATCCGCATGAAAGTCTCAAACATCCTGTTGTTGAAGTTAGTATGATGGCGCTAGTTAACGGTAAATACGCGTATCATCATTATATGCAAGATAATTTTGATGATAATGGATGGGGGTGTGCTTATAGATCTTTGCAAACGCTTTCATCTTGGTTTTGGTTGCAAGGTTATAGTGACCGCCTTTATCCACATCATAAAGAAATACAAGAAGCATTGTTTGCAATGGGTGACAAAGACATCAAGTTTGTTGGCTCAAAGGATTGGATTGGATCAGTCGAAGTGGGTTATTGTTTAGATTATTTTTATCATGTTACTTGTAAAACACTTTATGTTTCCTCTGGAGCCGACCTGGCGTTTAAAGGTAGAGAACTATATACTCATTTTAAAGAGCAAGGGACACCTATAATGATTGGTGGAGGAGTCCTTGCTCATACTATTGTTGGTGTTATTTTTAACGAGCATACTGGAGAAACAAAGTTCTTAGTGGTAGATCCTCATTATACCGGTACTGATAACCTAAAAATTATTTTAAGTAAAGGATCGGTTGGATGGAAAGGACCAGACTTTTGGGACAAAAATTCGCATTATAATTTATGTATGCCTCAGAGACCTAAAGTAATCTAATAAGTTTTATCAACCTAATGCAGATTTTTATATTTTTGTTGGGCGCATTTATTTCGAATTAAAAATACTTTTACCATATTAAGATGTATTTATGCTTTGTTCGGGATGTAATAACGACGAAACATGATTTATTTGTAGTTTGAAGTGATCGCGTTCATTAAAAAATTAAAGTTCATTAAAAAATTAAAGAAAATGTGTAAACTTTTCTAAAAATTTAAACATTAGATGAACATTTTAATTAAAAATTTAAACAGATGAACATTTTAATTAAAAAATTAAACAGATGAACATTTTAATTAAAATTTTAAACAGATGAACGTTTTAATTAAAAGATATTGGTTTAAAAGAATTTTATTCACAAGAAGTAAAAAATGTCTCTTTTTATCTTCTAAATAACTAAAAAATTTTATGATTTTTTATTTTCCAATTCCTCAATCCATTTATTTTTAAATTACTCCTATATTCTATCTTTGGTCCAAGTTCTCTCCTTCGTGGTTTCTGTTACATTATTTGCCAAGATTTTTGGTTTTAATGTTTTTAGCTTAGGCAAATTTGAATAAAACACACAATTTTTTGTTTACAAACAATAAGTATTTCCATTTCTGTATGTGATTTTTTATTTTTCTTTGTTTTTACAGTTAGAAGCTGGAGTTGATAACAATATGCATACTATTATGATTTTCTTGAAGGATATCTATAACAAAAATATTTTTTTCATATTTTAGGCGAGCAGAATGTTTAAGTATGTATATTTTTAACATTTTTTTTTGTGTATGTGTTAATGTCGCAATAGTTTGAAAAATACACAATAATTTTCAAAATGCCATACTCTAGAAATATTTGATGACTGCTATTTCTCTTCGAAAATATATTAAATATGAGTTGTAGAAATATTTCACTTGAATCACAAGATGTTCATTTTAATAAAAATAACTACAAGAAATCGACAGTTTTGCGACTATGGTTTAAAAAAACTACGCCTCAGGGCGGCAAGGCGTTGGATTTTCGCACTAAGGCGCAAGCCTCATTCAAATAAATAAAACGTTCGCCTTTATTGGTTCGATGAGACACTGAAGCGCTGAGGCGCGCCTTATTTAAAATGAACCTAAAAAGGCCACATATGTTGCACGTGAACTTTATTTTTCCTAATAAGGGGATTATTATCCGATTCCGGCCCCCGAAACCCTCCATCTGGTCTTCTGCACCATCTTCTGGTTTTCTGCACTGCATCGGGCTTCGCTTTTGGGTTGCTTCTAGCTCATCGTATTGCATCGAGCTCCGCTTTGGCCATCGACTCTAGTTTTTAGTCTTGCTCCAACAACATTTTACCTCGACTCACATATAGGAAAACCGCCTTAATACGCCTCACGCTTTTTTAAACCTTGTTCATGACCATAAATGAACTGCATTTAAACGAGCAATCGTTTAATCGTGACTCTATGATACATGGTGTAATCCTGTAACTTTCTGGAAATTTTTGCTATTATCTAAAATATTACTTTTAAAAAAAGGACTGTGGTAAAACTTATATTTTCCGAAGAAATCAAGTTTATTTAACTAGTAACTAAAACATGGGTTTTTTTGTTCCATGCGTGATTGCACTTAATTAACTCTTTATGTTATCAAAGATTATTCATAATTACTATTCTTTGTTTACAAAATATTTATATAAGAGAGTATTTGGAGATATAATAATAGACAAAGCATGTACGAGTTTTCGTGAGTGATTTTGAGAAAATGTGTGAATCAGACTAAATTAGCCTTGCTACCCGACAAGAAATTTTATTGTTGGTCCCATATGGCCATTACACATTGGTCATAAATGAACGCCTCCGCCTGCATTGAACTAACATGGTTGGTAAAGCGGTGTGTAATTTGTTAGTTCAAATTTAAAAATTGAATCAGCTCATTACATCAAGTTAACATCTGGCAGGCAATAATAAAATTCTTTTTTATCTATCAAAAGTTTTAAATTTGCAAAGTTTTTTTTTTTAATTTCAATATTAATATAAAAATTTTTATAAATTTTCAAGTGTAAACATAAAAAGCTGCTCGATGAGTGTTTATAAAAAAAAGGTATATAAATGTGGGTCTCCTCCAAGTAGGGTTGAAAATTTCTGGAAATTTTCCGGGAAAATTTGCTTAAAATTTCCGGAAATTTTGATTTTTTTTTTTTTAATTTTTAATTTACTACTATGTATTAAAGAAATTGCAAAGAATTAAGCATCAAATCTCTTAAAAATGAGATAACTGTCATTTTTATTTTTTTTTTTTGCTAAAATACATAAAAACTAAAAACCACAAGACGTTTTGGAGAAAATTTAAATTTTAAGTTTATTTAAAATTTCTAAGTCGTTTAAAATCTAATAAAAAAAGAAATTTATTAAAAACATGCTACCTCTATAGGCACAACATCTTTTTTTATATATATGCATCTTTCTTTAAGTATTTAATAGGGTTGGAATTTTTTTACAAAAGCTTATTAATACCTGTAATATATACACAAAAACTGCATAAAATTGAATGCTGACAAAACCGAGTTCATACTTACCGGAAAAAAGCAAATTAAAAACCGCACAATATCGAACCACGATAAATTAAGTCATCTAGGCTTTATATGGGACACCTTTCCTAAAATCCGGGCAGTAATCCAAACTTTAATTCAATTTGGAATCCGTTTTGTTCACCCAAATTCCTTTGTCCAGTTATATAAAACTTTGGTTGTTCCACTACCTTATGGTCTAAGCTTTGTGAACATAAAAAAATATTAATGCAAAAGCTTGATATAGTTGGAAGAAACGCACTGAAGTCACTCCTTAACGTTTTAAAACATTGCATAAATTTTATTCATCCCTTATTTTTTATTGAGTATGTATCAATAATTACACAACAAAACAAGCTAAACTTATTTATTCACCTGAAGAGCAATAAAATGACATTTAATATTGTAAAGTAGCAGCTGAAAAACAAAACAGCTTCAGAACCTTTTTTAGGTAGTGTCAAAGGTTTGTGCAATAGTCATGAACTAAATGTAGAGAAAATAATGCAAAGTAAAAAAAAAAATCATTGACTTAATAGATGTAATTCCTGAAACGGATCTTCAAACTCTAAAATGAGCAGTTGAGTTCTGGAACTCAAAGGAACAAAAAAACAATCTTCAAGGACATTCTTGAAAAAAAAAATTCCTAGATGATCATGTTTGAATGAAAATCTTGTTAAAAAAAAAAAAAAACTTCAAGATTTTTCATTTATCCTGAACTAAACTCTAATTTAGCTTACTTGTATAGTGGGTTTTTAACTAATAAATAAAAATAAAAAAATAATTTTATATATATATTTTATTTAAACTAGACTATTATAAAAAAATAGCATGTTTTTGCAAACGTTAATGCTTAGCCATTTTCATGGTATGTGAAAGTCAATACTATCTTCACTTGTATACTCACTATCGTATTCGTTATCATCATAATCATCATCATCATCATCATTATCGACTGATAAGCAGCTGTGATTTTTTTGGCTTTTTTCATCAATGTTTTTTGTTTTTAAACATGAATGTTTTATCTTTTTAGAATTACGTTTAGCCAATTTATTCTGCATTTTCAAATTATAAGCAATAAATAAAAGCTTTGATGCTCTTGTATCGGTTAGGCGATTTCTTACTTTAGATTTTTGCAATGAAAACTCTTTGTTTGCACGCTCAACAGATGCAATGCTGCAGTTACAAGACAATAATATTAATGCAATTCTATTCAATAATGATGTTGGTGCATATGCTTTTCACCACGTGACTGGATTACAATCTTCATTAAGCTTCCAAATATAGCTGCGATTATCCTGGCTAAATATTCCACTACGAGCTTTGAAACTCATTAATTCATCCAATATTATATCAGTGGCTAGTGTTTCATTTTCAGCTGTTCTAAATACATGCTGCTCAGCTAAAAGCATTTCTGAATGATTTAACTTTTGACCAACAAGTCTTGGATCAAGTAAATTTGCTGCAAAGTGTATTGGTCTTACAACAAAGTCTTCACGCTTTTTAATGCAAGTAATGATATCCTCTTTTTGATGTAAAGTCAAAAGTGTTGAGTTTTGCAACACATCAGATATCTCAGTTATTACATAAATACTCACAGTTATACATGTATACTCACTATCGTATTCGTTATCATCATAATCATCATCATCATCATCATTATCGACTGATAAGCAGCTGTGATTTTTTTGGCTTTTTTCATCAATGTTTTTTGTTTTTAAACATGAATGTTTTATCTTTTTAGAATTACGTTTAGCCAATTTATTCTGCATTTTCAAATTATAAGCAATAAATAAAAGCTTTGATGCTCTTGTATCGGTTAGGCGATTTCTTACTTTAGATTTTTGCAATGAAAACTCTTTGTTTGCACGCTCAACAGATGCAATGCTGCAGTTACAAGACAATAATATTAATGCAATTCTATTCAATAATGATGTTGGTGCATATGCTTTTCACCATGTGACTGGATTACAATCTTCATTAAGCTTCCAAATATAGCTGCGATTATCCTGGCTAAATATTCTACTACGAGCTTTGAAACTCATTAATTCATCCAATATTATATCAGTGGCTAGTGTTTCATTTTCAGCTGTTCTAAATACATGCTGCTCAGCTAAAAGCATTTCTGAATGATTTAACTTTTGACCAACAAGTCTTGGATCAAGTAAATTTGCTGCAAAGTGTATTGGTCTTACAACAAAGTCTTCACGCTTTTTAATGCAAGTAATGATATCCTCTTTTTGATGTAAAGTCAAAAGTGTTGAGTTTTGCAACACATCAGATATCTCAGTTATTACATAAAACGCTGCATCATTCTCTGATTCCAAAATGGCTTCTGATATAGATTTCAGAAGTTTGAAAATTAAATCCGTCTTTTTACAAAAGGTTTCATTCAATACTAATCTCTTTAAGTCAATTCCTTTTTTATTATTATGTTTGTCAAGATACTTTTGTGCTTTTTCATCAGTTACTGCCAGTCGCAATGAATCACGGAGTAGAATATTGCGTTGTAACATATAAAATTGTGATGACCATCTTGTTACTACAGGAAGAATTAAAATAAAACTTTTATTCAAGGAGTGTAGGCTACAA